TGTGTGTGTGTGTGTGTGTGTTTTTTTTTTTTGAGATGGAGCCTCACTCTATAGCCCAACCTGGAGTGTAGTGGTGTGATCTCGGCTCACTACAACCTTTGCCTCCCGGGCTTAAGTGATTCTTGTGCCTCAGCCTCCCTAGTAGTTGTGACTACAGGTGTGCGCCACCATGCTTGGTTAATGTTTTTGTATTTTAGTAGAGACCGGTTTCACCATGTTGCCCAGGATGGCTCAAGCTCTTGAGCTCAGGTGATCTGCCCGCCTTGGCCTCCCAAAGTGCTGGGATTACAGGCGTGAGCTACTGCACCTGGCCAAAATGTGTTTCTTTTCATACTTAGTTCACATGTCTCACGCAGGTTGGCCTCACTACTTTCCAGTTTCACATGGTGTATGTTCTTTTGCCAAGACTCAACATATTTCCACTGTACACCCCAGGGGCTCTAAGGTCTGAAGTGTGTAACTGATTGTGTCAATCCTTCAGGAGGAAAGACATGATAAGATTATGGACATATGTGTCCTCTGAAGATAGTAAGAAAGCCCAATAGCAACGGCTTCAGAGAACAAGGCTTCAGAGAACCACTCTTGAGTAGGTAAGTATTTCACAGGTTCAGAGTCAGCTGATTTTGTACTAAAGAATTTCTTAGATATAGAGCCCCATGGGCTTAGATGGAAAGTTCTGGTGAGTACCCTACCCCACAGATGCCTGCCTCACCCTCACCCTGGAAAGTGACAATAAACTCTGTAATGTTAAGGACCATAACCAAATGAGGTGCAAGCATGAAGGGGTTAGCTGAAAGGGCACTGAAGGCTGACCTATGCTGTAGGGAGGGGCATTATTCTCTATAGTCCACTTCTCTTGGTTTGCTCTAGAACTAGAAACGAGCTTCTCAGCAGGAGTAAGAGCAGTGCTAGCAGGAGAAAGTGGAAGGAAATGGGCTTCAGCACTGGTCTGATTGGTTATTCCTGGAGTCAGAGTTCATAGATACCTTAACAGGAACTGCTCTCTCCAGTTTTCTTCCCACAACCATGGTTTGAAAGGTGCGTAAGGAGGGGCATACAGGAGTTAACGTTCTGAAACTAGAAAAGAAATGGGCCCCTCTATCATCCTTCTCCTCACCTTCCCAGTACAAATCTACAAGTGCATGTGAGGATATGCTCAGCTTTCATCCCAGGCTTCTTAGGACTTCTCTCTGTAGAAAGAATTCAGTGGTGCCTCCTGATAAGGAGTGTTTAGGAGGAAACATTGCTTGGGATGAACCTGGCCATAGCTCAGAAAATACTGCTGAAACTGCTAACACATTAAAATGCTTTCACAAAGGACCTAAGAGAACTTAGAGGCTTGTGCCATGATGAAGAGTGTAAGCTCTGGAGCCTGAGAACGTAGGACTGAATCCTGTCTCTGACACTAGCTGTGACCTTGGACAGGCCTCTTAACCTTCCTATGCCTTAGAATCATCTGTAAAATGGGAGGTAACAATACCTACCTCATAAGGATTGTCATGAGGATTGAATGAAATAATGCATATAGGTTGGGCGCAGTGGCTCACACCTGCAATCCCAGCCCTCTGGGAGACCGAGATGGGTGGATCACCTGAGGTCAGGAGTTCAGGACCAGCCTGGCCAACATGGTGAAACCCTGTCTTTACTAAAAATACAAAAATCAGCTGGGCATGATGGTGGGTGCCTGTAATCCCAGCTACTTGGAAGGTTGAGGCAAGAGATTTGCTTGAACCTGGGAGGCGGAGGTTGCAGTGAGCTGAGATCATGCCATTACATTCCAGCCTGGGTGATAGAGTGAGACTCCATTTCAAAAAAAATGCATATAAAGCACCAGTACCATGCCAGGAATATATTAAGTGCTCATAAATATAAGCTATTATTTAGGTCTCCCACAGTGCTTCACAGTCCTATGCCCATAGTCTTTAACGTTCTTGTGGAGCAAATAAAATTGAAAACTATTATTTTATTTCTTTTTCTAACGTGAATTTCCCAATACTTAGCCTACCAAATGTCCAATAATATGAGAATAGGTGTTGTTACAATGGCCTACTTCTTTTCCCCAAGCTTCATAGTTCTGCCTGCCTTTTCCAGAAACCATTTGCTGGCCCTATCTCTGCCTCCTCTCCACTCAGCAAGACTTGTCTCTACACATGTACTCTATGTTGCTTTAAGGTTTCAGAGAGTACTGCACGGTATCAGCTCATGGGGTGCTCAGACCCAAAAATTGTGAGCATTTTCACACTCTAGGGGCTGCTACTGGTGGCTCTGCAGCAGTCATCATGCTACAGAACGAATATATTAAATTACACCATAAACACTATGGATACCATTTGGATTACCATGAGAAAAAGAGAAAGAAGGAAAGTCAAGAGGCTCATGAACATTCAAAGAAGGCAAAGAAAATTATTGGTGTGAAGGCTAAGCTTTACCATAAATAGCACCATGCTGAGAAAGTACAGATGAAAAAGATTCTCAAGATGCATGAAAAGAGAAATACCAAACAAAAGAATCATGAAAAGACTCCACATGGAGCAGTACCTGCCTATCTGCTGAACTGAGGAGGACATTCTCGAGCTAAAGTACTTTCCAATATGATTAAACAGAAACGAAAAGAGAAGGCGGAAAAATGGGAAGTCCCTCTGCCTAAAGTCTGTGCCCAGGGAGAAACAGAAGTATTAAAAGTTATTCAAACAGGAAAGAGAAAGAAGGCATAAAAGAGGATGGTTACTAAAGTCTGCTTTGTTTGAGATGGCTTTACAAGAAAACCACCTAAATATGAAAGATTCATCAGGCTAATGGCTTGCATTTCAAAAAAGCCCATGTAACACATCATGAACTGAAAGCCACCTTTTGCCTACTAATACTTGGTGTAAAGAAGAATCCTTCATCTCCACCGTATACAACTTCGGGTGTTATTATCAAATGTACTGTCATTAAGGTAAATGTGAGCAAATTGGACCTTGTGATGCAAGGAGGCAAAGTTATTTGGGGAAAATATGCCCAGGTTACCATCAATCCTGAAAATGAAGGATGTATAAATGCAGTCTTACTGGTTTGACAGCAATTCATATATAGTTATTGAGGACTACACACCAACTGAAACAACTGCCATTACTGTGATGTTTCTGAATACTACCAAGCAGCCTTGCATCTCTGCAATCATCAAAGGATCTATTTATTAAACTGTAAACACTAAAGTCGTTTCTTAAAAAAGATTTCAGAGAATAAAAAGAGAGTAGTCAATTTTAAGTGTTTGCAAATGGACGGGAGCATGTGCCCTGCCACACTACCATATTTCACAATTCCGTCTTCTCCTGTCTATCTGGAGGATTTTTGCAGAACAAAAAGGCCGCCATCTATAGGAAGTTCTAAGGGTTCATTTACATAATGTATCACTAGAGTCTTTTCTCCTTGGGTGAGGGCAGCAGGTTTTTCAGGTCAGAAGCTGCTCCACACCCCTAAACTGCCTGCATTCCCAGGATGTTAAGTCACCGAGGAAGCTGGCGAGGACACACGGAAGGAAAATTTTGCCTGGTCCAGTACTGAGTCACACTTTTTGCCTTGTGCAGCTCCATTCTATCTCGAATTGACCTGCCTAGGTCAGTGTGTGTCTGTATGTTTTCATAGCACCACTCCTTAAGTAGCTGAGTCACATGGCTTTTATGGACCAAATTACTGTTCCATGCTGCTCCTGCTCTTATTTGAGGGCACAGTAAATATTGGGGAGAAATTGTTGCTTGAATTCCAAAGAAGTGATGTGCTCTTCTGGAGGTCTGGTAGATTATTTCTTTCAGGTTCACCTTGAATAACATAGTTAGAAGACAGCAGGTAACCTTTATATGACAATAACCTATGTCTCTTCATCATGAAAAATGGAATGAGGGAGTTGGGGTGGAAAACAGGGGCTCTCCACTGCTTCAAAGCAAGTCTATACACTCTCCCCCAAATTAAGTATACAATCCCTTTAGCCCCAAACAGTGGCTAATGAAGGGAAAACCATGCTAGCCATATCAAGAAAAGATAACTGTGGTTAATAGCCCTGCTACTTAGAAGAGAGAGCTCTCTTAACATAATGTCCTGACATTTGATAAGAGGAGGGGAAATGACTAATGGTAAATTCTTAGCATGCTACCAAGAATAAAATTGGATGCGGATGGGAAGTCCTGGGTCAGATTGTTCACAATTTCTTGAAGTACTGTGGTGGGCACAACTGGTACACACTACTAGGAGTTCTTGTAATTTTCCTGGTCTGTGAGGGGCAAGCATTAGTTGTGTAAATGCTGGGACATTTGGTCCCAGTAGGCAGTGGTCACAGTAACTTCAATCCCCTGGTTACCTCAGAGGTAGCTGGCTGATATTACTATTGAAATACCCAACTGATATGAGATGTAAACATTGAGATATAGGAAAAAAGGAGACATGCATTCATCCACTGAGGGTATATAGGAACGAACAGAGCGTTGATAAACATATGCTCCTTATTATACGGTAAAATCCTGGCCGGGTGAGGTGGCTCACACCTGTAATTTCAGCACTTTGGGAGGCCAAGGTGGTTGGACCACTTGAGGTCAGGAATTCGAGACCAGCCTGGCCAACATGGTGAAAATATCTACTAAAAATCTAAAAATTAGCCAGGTATATTGGCAGGCGTCTGTAATCCCAGCTACTTTGGAGGTTGAGGCAGGAGAATCGCTTGAAACCAGGAGGCAGAGGTCACAGTGAACCAAGATCATACCACCACACTCTGGTCTGGGTGACAGAGCAAGACTCTGTTTCAAAAAAAAAAAAAAAAAAAAAAAAAAAAAAGGAAAATCCCTGTAGGTAGAAACCAGTACTGATTTAATGTGATCTTGTTTCCCTCCTCTGCCTTCACTCTACCTTGGAGTGTTAGCCACTCATCTCAATCCATTATTACCTTCTCTCTCCCCTTAACACACACACACACTCACACACACACACACACACACACACACACAAATGAAATACTCAGGATAACAGTAGACACAAAGCAGTCTTCATTTCTTCCACACATGAGAAACATTGTCAATTACAGTTCAACTTCTCTGAGGTCCACATCAAGTACTAAAATACCAAGAGCACGGAAAAGCTGGGTTGGAGGAAATCTCTGCTCATGAGGCAGTTTAAGTGAGAGGTTTCACTCAAGGATTCCACTAGACAAGCTGGAGGCCCATGCAGGTTCCTGAGAAAAAGAGTCATTTTGGCTTATGCCCTGAAGGAATCCTACTCTGCACTTTCTCCTCAGAGTGTGCCTATGAAGTGCCTCTGCTGAATGACCACTAGTAAAATCCTAACAGAGAACTAATTTGTTTGGGGAGCAATTCTTTTAATAGTGGAGATTTTCTTCTCAGACAGAGCTTCTCATTGGAATTAAAAAGACTCCAGCCACACTGACAGTTGCAGGTTCCACATCAGTCAGACTGTTACCTAGGAGGTACTCTTAACTGGTAAACTGTCATATCTTCTGATCAGTCAGGATATATTCTAGTGAGACTCTGGGACTTCAACTCAGCCCAGGAAAGCTCAGAAATGCATCAAGCAAATGAGCAGAGCGAGAAGGTCGCTTTAGAAAACCTAAAGTGCTTGAAGGCAAGTTATTCCAATTGACCTGGTAAGAAGGGTATGAATGGGTATTTCTCACCCTTCCAACTATATAGTGGATACCTCCTGTGTCCAAACATAGTGGCAACTCTTAAGAAAATAAAACCTAATTGGGAGTTGCTCTTTCTTCTGATAGGCTTAACAGAAAAGTCAAGACAATGCCTTGATGGGTATCTCACCCATTAGCCTCATCCATTCCTTCAATTTCATAGTTGCTCTTGGCAACTCCCAACCCATCCTAAAACACCCAGAAAATAGAATCAGACAACACTTTGCCTTGCTTCAGCCTCAAAGGGTGGCTCTGTGTTCTCAACCCTGGTCCGAGGGTGCTGGTGGCAGCAGACACAGTGGAGGTAGTCCACTACATTATGGGTGAAGAGTGAGCGCAATGGATGCAAGTACTGGAAGAAAAGGAGCATGAAGCCAATGGAAATCAGATAAGCAATAATGAGCTGCAAGGCAATCATAGAATGACAGTAATTCAGTAACACTTTCCCTCCAAAGAACTTAAAAACCAAAACCATGATCACATTCTCTACCAACCTCACACTATAGTGCAGGACCATATGTCCCCAGTTCCGCCCTTTGTCGACGAGATCTCTGTCTGCCAACCTCAACTGCAAAGCTGACCAGCAAGAGAAGTTGATGCCAGCATAGAGGATGGTGATTGAAATCAGCACCACCAGAGTGCCGACCCGGCTGAAGTTTTTCTCAATGTTATTGGGCATCTGGGCACCACTCCTCCAGAACTTAATCCAAGGCTCAAAGAGGATGATCAGGAAGTTGAGCACTAGGAAGGGCACAGCCTTCAATTTCAAAGTGGCTGAGAAGAGCACCAGAATCAGGAGGCGGGAAGTGATCTCCAATGTCCGCCAGATGGTGATGCAGAGGACTTCTAGTGGCCCAAGGCGAATCTTGTAGTCATCATACTTGATCTGGATAGCCAACATATTGCAAAGGGTAGCCCCATAGGTGACTGATACCAGGGAAAAGACCATTAGCACAACTGTTAAAAAAACAAAAACGCAATCAGTTAATGTTAGTGATGAAGGCTATACTTATAACCCAGAGGTCCAGAGAGATGATAGGTGAGACTTGAGAGCTCCAGTGAAGAGCAAATGAACATATGATTACAGCTATATAAAAAAAAAATAGCATGAATTTGAATAGACTTTTTCCAAAGGTGGCATATAAATGGCCAACAGGTATATGAAAAGGTGTTCAACATCACTAATCATCACAAAAATGAAAATCAAAAGCGCAATGAGATATCATCTTGCACCTGTTAGAATAGATATTATTAAAAAAAAATGTTGGCGAGGATGTGAGAAAAAGGACGCTTGTATACTGTTTTGGGAACATAAATTGATACAGCCATTATAGAAAACAGTATGGAGGTTCTCCAAAAAAATTAAAAACAGAACTGCCATATGATCAAATAACCTTACTGCTGGGTGTATACCTAAAGGAAATCAGTATCTCAAAGAGATATCTGCACTCCCATGTTCATTGTAGTATTATTCTCAATGGCCAAGATATAGAAACAAACTTAGTATCTGTTGACAGACGAATGGATAAAGAAAATCTGACATGTGTGTATATATACACAACAGATTATTATTCAACCATAAAATGAAGAAAACCCCACCATCTGTGACAACACAGATGAACCTAAAGGACATTATGTTAAGTGAAATGAGCTAGGCACAGAAAGAAAAATACTGCATTTTCTTACTTATATGTGGAATCTAAAAAAGTCGAACTCCTATAAACAGAGTAGAATAGGTGGTTACCAGGGGATAGGGGTTTAGGGAAATGGAAGGATTTTGATCAAAGGCTGCAAACTTAGACTTATGAGTAAGTTTCAGAGCTCTAATGTACAACATCATGACGATAGTTGACAATAATGTATTGTGTACTTGAAATTGTTAAAGAGAGTGGATCTTGGTTTACTACACATACACATACACACACACATACATACATACACAAATGGTAACTATGTGAGGTGATGAAAGTGTTAATTAGCTTGGTTGTGGTAATCATTTCACAATATACATACATCAAAACATCACATTGTACACCTTGAATATACACAATAAAACAAAATAGATGCACAAATAATTGAAAAAAATGAATCAAAATATCTTTTAGTGTGTGCGATAATTTGATATCAGTTTTAGAAATCTTTTTCTCACTGGGCACAGTGGCTCATGCCTATAATCCACTTTGGGAGGCCAAAGGGGGCAGATTGCCTGAGCTCAGGGGTTCAAGACCAACCTGGGCAACACAGTGAAATCCTGTCTCTACTAAAATACAAAAAATTAGCCAGATGTGGCAGCATGCACCTGTAGTACCAGCTACTCAGGAGGCTGAGGCAGAATTGCTTGAACCTGGGAGGCAGAGGTTGCAGTGAGCCGAGATTGCGCCACTGCACTCAGTGACAGAGTGAGACTCCATCACCAAAAAAACAAAAAATCTTTTTCTCTACATCTATTTTCTAAATTTCCCATGATGAACATATACTGCAACACTTTAATAATTATATAAATATACAAACTAAAGTTCCTTAAAATGCATGGGTCTTAGAACATTGAAAAGTCACTAACATGAGAAGTGTACATATAAAGGTATCAGGCAGACTTTGCTGATGAAGCAGGCTTCGGAGCAAACATTGAATAAGGCAGAAAGAACTCTATTTGAAAAAAATCCAGTCTTAGGAGATTCATAAAGAATACCCTTGCTAATAGAAGTCCCTTCTTTGATGTATACCTTCTTTGAGGAACTAACATTGTTTGCGTGTGTTTCTAGAACACTTAACTCCAGTGACATATCAAAATGTGTATTGAAAATTCCATGAAGGCACAGAGGACCATGTCTATTTTGTTCACTGCTGTATGCCAGAGCCTAACACATTACCTGGAACATAGTAGGTGCTCAATAAATGTTTGTGGAATTAATGAAGACTTCTGAGATTACAGAGGTGCATAAAATGCCTAATTAGGTTGGGCGAGGTGACTCATGCCTGTAATCCCAGCACATTGGGAGGCCAAGGCAGGTGGATCACATGAGGTTAGGAGTTTGAGACCAGCCTGGCCAACATGGTGAAACACCATCTCTACTAAAAATACAAATATTAGTCAGGCACGGTGGTGTGTGCCTATAATCCCAGCTACCCCAGAGGCTGAGGCAGGAGAATCGCTTGAACCTGAGAGGCAGAGGTTACATTGGGCCAAGATTGTATTGTTGCACTCCAGCCTGAGCAACAGAGTGAGACTCTGTCTCAAAAAGAAAAAAAAATTAGCCAGGCATGGTGGCATGCCTGTAATCCCAGGTGCTCAGGAGGCTGAGGCATGAGAATCACTTGAACCCAGGAGGCGGAGGTTGCAGTGAGTTGAGACCGCCCCACTGCACTCCAGCCTGAGTGACAGAGTGAGATTCTTTCTCAAAAAGAAAAAAAAACCTAATTAGAAATCCTTGGCATTGACTTAACACTTATAATCTCAGAACTTTGGGAGGCTGAGGTGGGTGGATCACCTGAGGTCAGGAGTTTGAGACCAACATAACCAACGTGGTAAAACCCCTTCTCTACTAAAAATACAAAAATGAGCTGAGCATGGTGGTGCATGCCTGTAATCCCAGATACTCAGGAGGCTGAGGCAGGAGAGTTGCTTGAATCAGAAAGGTGGGGGTTGCCATGAGACAAGATCACACCATTGCACTGCAGCCTGGGCAACAAGAGTGAAACTCTGTCAAAGAGGGGAGGGGAAAAGAGGGGAGAGGAGGGGAGGGGAAGGGAAATCCTTGGTTCAGCTGTATAGGAACTTTTGGAGGTCATTGAATATCTATGTGCCTCAGTTCTCAATTCACTGAGATACTCCAGAGTTGCTTATATTTGTCATCAGCAATGTCAATTCATTACCTCCATGTTAGGAATCTCTGAATTTGCAGCAGAGAGGTTCAAAAATGTCAAAATCCTGTTGCCTTGCCCATGACATCCATAGCACCATATGTTAGAGTAGTGACCCTAAAGAGCCAGGATGCTCTCTAACCTGTTCTATCTAAGCCTCAACTATAGATGACACAGGTGGCCCTTTCCTTTTCTTCCTTTATGTCAAAGGATGCTGATTACTAAGAAAAATCCAGTGCTCTGAAGAGAAGTGGGAGGGCTGAGGAATACTCATCCAAAAGAAAAGCTGGAGCTTTCCGTTCCTATTAAAACACTTGATCTAGGGAAACAGTGGCCATAGAGATGTCAACTTAATCTTTTACTTTTCATGGAGGAAAACTTAAGATTTCCTCCAGGAAAACCCAAACAGAAGCACAGCTCTGTTTCTGAGTTCTTCAGTTTTAAGTAGAGTGTTGGAATCTCAGAGACTGGAATGGGAGACTCTCGAGGTGGTGACTCAGCTTTCTCAACCATTCTCAGTCCCATCCTCAAGAGTTGATACACGTTATAGAAGTGGGAATGTCAGAGCATATATCCACCTAAGTGTGGCAATGCTTTGTCTTACATTAGAACTCATTTACTGATTAGTAGTGTAACAGAAGGAAAAATCCTGATGCTTCCAATAAATGTAAAAACATTTTCAGTCTGTGTCCCTACAAATAGACTCACGCCATAAGAGGACAAAATACACAGGTTCTAGAGGCAAACACCCTGGATTCCAAACCAATGTTTGCTACCTGCTTCTTATGGGACCTTGGGGAAATGTACTGAAACTCTCAGTGTGTCTGTTTCTTCATTTGTAAAATGAGAATCATAATTATCTCGTAGGGTTGTTGTAAAGATTAAATAAACATTTACATGTAAAGGGCTTACAGAAATGCCTAGAACCTAGTAACTAACTTTCAGCTGTGTTCTTCTTTCTTCTTATTCCTCCTTCCCTTCTTCTTTCTTATCCTTTTTCTCCTCCTCCCCCTCCTCCTTTTCTTCCTATTCTTATTCATCATCACTCTATTTCTAAAAGTATGGTAGGTGGGTTTACTTTACCTGGATACTATCCTGGTACTTAGAAAATCAGGTCATTTTAAAACTGATAGAACATCTGAATGTAAGCCTTATAAAAATGTAAGACCCACATCAAGAAAACTATACAATTTTACTGAAAAAAACTATACAATTTTACTGAGGTACACTTTAAAATATTTAATAAAATGGAGAGATTTATCATTTCACAATACGAAGTCCATCAATCCTATAAAGATGTAAATTGCCCCTAAATAACCCAAGTAATTTGATGCAAATCCCAGTCAGAAGCTTAATGAAATGGTTTTTCTTTTGTTGTTATTATTTTGCTTTGTTTTTTGTTGGAGGAATTAAAAAATTGATCTTGAAAATTAATCTACTTAGAAAATTGGGGTAAATTGTTCTACCGGATGTGATAGGCCTTTGTAAGAAAGGCACAAAATCTAAAAGCAATAAAGAATTTGAATACATAAAAATGTAATACTTCAGAATGCCCGAAGATACTACAAAATGTATTGTAGATAATATATAACACATATATTACGTGTAGGATATGTATATACATATTTAAAATGTGTGTATGTCCAAGCAAAAAATTATACAACTATATGCATACATACTCATTCACAGCAGAGAAAGGATTAATAACAAGGATAAGTAAATAGCTACTAAAAATTAATATAAAAAAGACAACCCACTAGAAGAAGTGAGTAAAATATGTAAACAAGCAATTTGCAGAACACACAATGGCCAAACACAAAAAGATGCTCAGCTTCATTTATAACCAAAGAAAGCCAATTATCTTATAATTATACAAATAAATAATATTTCATTTAGGATATGAAGAAACAGAAATAGGCACATTTGTATATTGTTGGTGAGAGTATAAATTCATATATCTTTTGGGGAGAGTTATTTGACAATATCAATAAAATTTTAAACATACATATCCTTTCACCCAGCAATTCCACTGCTATAAATTTATCCTACAAAGTCTCATTCAAGTACACAGACATTTATAAATATGTTCACTGTGGCATAATTTGTAATTAGAAAACAATTTTTTGTGAAAAATTAAAATTCGTGAGGCTGACATAGGGCTCCTCCTGCCCCTCTTTCTTCCACAGTGTGAGGTACTTAATCATGGCCTCCAAACATCTGCAGAAGTAAAGCATCATGGGAACTTAACTAAAGCTGTCCTGGGAAGGGAGGTTGTAATGAGGGGAAAAAATAACTTGGGGAAGTTGTGCTACCTTTTTTTTTTACCTTTTTTGAGACAATCAATAGAATCCTATCAATAGAAAGTTAGGAGAATAAGAATGAATATTCTAATTCATATAAAGGAAATCCATATTGTATGTTTATTATTGTTGTACATGTATATATAAATAATTTGAGAAAATATGTACTAGCATAATGTACTTTTGAAAAGTACATTCTGTTGAACAGAATGTTTCATACAGTCCATGTTTGGACAAAGACATATACAATATATGTTGTATGTATGTTTATGTTTACATAGTAAAAATAAGTCCAGAAGGATATATACTGGATGATTAACAGAATTTATCTTTGGGGAGTGAGATCACATTTCCTATTTTATATCTATTCTATGTGGTTTTTAATGTTTATTATAACCATGTCTGACTTTTGTAATTAAAAAAAACAAAAACCAAAGCTAGTAATGCATGATCATGAAAAAATTTTCAAACCATATAGAATAATTTAAAGTAAAAAGTAAGACTGCTAGGCCAGGTGCGGTGGCTCACACCTGTAACCCCAGCACTTTGGGAGGCAGAAGGGAGCGGATCATAAAGTCAGGAGTTCAAGACCAGCTTGGCCAATATGGCGAAACCCCATCTCTACTAAAAATATATATATATAAAAAATTAGCCGGGTGCGGTGGCATGCGCCTGTTGTCCCAGTTACTTGGGAGGCTGAGGTGGGAGAAATGCTTAAACCCAGAAGCTGGAGGTCGTAGTGAGCTGACATTGCACCACTACACTCCAGCCTGGCCAACAGAGCGAGACTCTGTCTCAAAAAA